CTGGCGAAGAAGGGTGTATACAGAGGGGATGCCTGCTCTCTCTAAGACAGCACTGTTCGTAATGCGGTCCTGCCAGGAGATGGAGAGGATGCGCTGCAAGCAGCGCAGGTGGAACACATTCAGGCATTTTTCTTGTGCTGCATACGTTGTCCAGGACTCGCTACCATAGAGGAGCATGCTGATGATGCAGGCTCTGTAGACAGCCATTTTGGTGGGAGTAGTGAGCTTCTGATTTTCCCAGACATGTTGTGAAAGCTTTGACATGTTGGTTGCAGCGTGCCCAATCTTCTTTCCTATTTCGGTGTCAAGAGGGGTGGTGCTAGTAACAGTAGAACCAAGGTAGATGAAGCTGTTGACTGTTTCAAGTGCATAGTCCTTGATGAAGAGAGAGGGGGAAATGTCTGTATCCTGAGTCATGATTTTGGTTTTTTGGAGGCTGATGGTTAGGCTGAAGTCATCGCAGGCATTCGAAAAGCCATTGAGGAGGTTCTGGAGATTGTCATCACTATGAGCAACCAGAGCTGCATTGTCGGCAAACAAAAAGTCTCTGAGGAGAACTCGGCTGACTTTGGTTTTCTATCTGAGTCGGGCAAGATTGAAAAGTTTGCCATCAGTGCGGGAATGGAGAAAAATGCCACCATTTGTTGTTCTAAAGGCATGTTTCAGAAGCACTGAGAAAAAGATTCCAAAGAGGGTGGGAGCCAGCACACAGCCTTGTTTGACTCCGCCACGAATGTTGAATGCCTCAGACATGTTGCCATCGAATCGAACAGTACTGTGCATGTTGTTGTGGAAAGACTCCAGAAAGCTCAGAAGCTTTGGTGGGCAGCCGATGAGAGGCAAGATCTTGAAGAGGCCATCTCTGCTAACCAGATCAAAAGCCTTAGTTAAATCGACGAAGGCAATGAAAAGAGGTTGTTGTTGTTCCCTGCACTTTTCTTGTAGCTCTCGCACAGAGAAGATCATATCAACCGTTGAGCGTTGGGATGGAAAACCACACTGAGACTCAGGGTACACTCTTTCTGCAAGCTGCTGAAGGCGAGGGAGTGCCACACTGGCAAAGAGCTTGCCAGCAACGCAAAGGAGAGAGATGCCCCGATAATTGTTGCAATCACTGCGGTCACCCTTGTTCTTGAACAGGGTCGTGATGATAGAATCTCGCATCTCTTGGGGGACTGTTCCCTCCTCCCAGCATTTGCACAACAACTGATCGAGCACATTGTGAAGCTGGATATAATATTTGCTACAATAACTATACGCCACTACACCTCTACGATGTACGCATATCCGAGAGAAACGGAGCTTAAACATTCAAAATTCTACCGCAGAGTCAGAGAGCTTTACAAAAATTTCTACATGTAATCAAGCTTCATACAATGGTCTAGGTATGGAAAAAAATGGATTGAATGGGGTGCATGATAAGAGGGTTGCAGGATGTATCAGAGGCCCAAATATCCACCATTGGCTGCTTGTCGCAGTGGAAGAGAAGCTTCTTCCCAGACCTCAAGTGACCCCACAGGCAACATGCAAGAGCAATGGGGTATAGTTCCTTCCACTGGGTTGAACGATCCTTTAGGATGGAAGGCCAGGGATCAGCGATCCAGTGGCTGGCCTAGTAAATACCATAGCCAAGGGTGCCACACACATCCATCAAGAGTTCCAGGTCTGGTGAACTAAAAAGTGTCGGGTATTATCACATGGCCATTCTAAGTGGGAAGAAACGAGCTTCCACATTCGTTGTGATATGATGATGGGGAATCTTTGCTGTAGTGCGTAAGTCAATAAGGTAGCGAAAGACCATGACTGAAGTTCAGCCAGCAGCTCCTCTAGTTTCTCAGCAGGTAGGGGAGTCTCCATGTAGGTGTTATCAATCAGGATCCTGAGGAAGGCCAGACAAGTGGTGGGACCTTCTAACTTGTCTGGCACCAGAGGAATGTCTAAACTAGATGCCAAGTAAATGATAGTCTGAATGGTATTGGCACAGTTTGAAGGACTCACTGTAAAGTCGTTGTCCAGGTAATGCATGAGATGATGGATATGGTAATTGAACTGCAATATCCATTTAGAGGCATCAGCCAGACGGTTAAAGAAGTAAGGTGAAGAGCACAAGCCAAAGGGTAGGCAAAGATCATAAAATTGGCCCTTCCATTCAATACCAAGAAGTTCATGATCAGCCAAGGAAACTGGACAAAGGTGAAAGGCATGCTTGACATCCAGTTTAGCCATGAGGGTATTCGTGCCATGCAGTGCAACAAGGGCAAGAGCTTGGTCAAAGAGCTTGGATGGGTTCAGCTCAGTAGACAGGTGTGAAATGTCGTAAGGAGTAGTAGGGAGACTCAGAGAAGGGGGTGTCATGGTGGAATCAGAGTCCTTTGGGGTTCTGTGACCCATGATGTTGCCTCCACAGTCTGGCCTGTTACAGATATGCTGGAACTGGCAGTTTGATGGCTGCTGGCTGGGATTGTGGGGGGCCAGGTGGTTTGTTGGACAGGCTGGTAGTGGAGTAAGATGGCTTGGGCAGCATTGTAATATCAGGGCATGTAAAAATAACTGATGTTACTAATGTTAGGTGTTATTAAGATTATGTAATTTTTTTTGTTTTTGAACCTCACAAGGTTATAATAAACAAATATAAGATGGCTTGGGTAGGGAAGAAGAAGCGAAGGCTGTGATGGAACGAAGGGACTGGTTTGTCTTAGAGCATGCAGTGCAGGCTAGGGTGCAATGGTCAATAAGGGAAGGTCTCTTCCTTGAGGATGTCATTGTATAGCTACTCATTGACTCTTGAACAAAGGAGCAGAGATATTTGGGGCTGCCTTGTGCCTGAAGGCAGTGTTGTACATTAGCCAGGCTGAGGGCTTGACTTTCCAGCTAAATTTGCAAATTTGATCCTGGCAGGCAAGGAGGTCTGGGGCCAGGTGAGGGAAGTGGAGAGGAGAGTGGAAAGGTAGACATTCCAGAACTTAAGCCAGGATGAAATGCCATCAATATGTCGTTTTCTTTGTGGGTCCAAACAAATGCTGATGTGGATGAGTCCTGAGGGTTGATTGCCAACCTGAAGTTATTGGAAAAGAAAAAGGCATTTATGGGGTACATATTGGTTGACAAAATCTCATAAAAGTCAGTGTACTCACGTTTCAGAATCCTTTTATAAGTTTCCAGGGTAGTAATGGCACGCTGGGATCGGTGATAGTCGTGGATGGCGTAGTTCCCTGCGAAGTATTGGCGCTGTAGATTAGCTGTGTTAGCTACCAGGGACCTTCTACCAAGTGGCAGATTTGCAGTAAGGAGGCCATCTTGTATTTCCATGCTTTGTGGTTCTTGGCCTTGATCGGCGTACAAGCTAGCTGGGGAGAGAAGAGGGATGGTAACATTCTCATTGTGGACCAGTACAGATCTAGGATGCTGAGAACCAGCAGTGTCCACAATGAGTAGGCAAAACTGGTCAAGCTGGTCGCTTGAAAACGCGGGCATGCATTGTCGCTTCAAACAAAGGGACAACAGGAACATCCGAGGTGGAAGCCAAGGCAGGAATGTTCTCCAGAGTTGAAGTGGGACACTGGGGGTTTCCACATTCGTGGTCGTGTTTGAAGACTCACTGGCTGATTTTAGCCTTGCTGTCAGTCGTCATGAGATTGTGTGCCAAGGCCAAAAGGATTGAACCATTCTTCAGCAGGGCCTGTAACTCACGAAGAAACAAGGCTTTTGGATCAAAGTTGGTGGGACAGTTGTTGCAGTTCCAAATGTGAGTGGTACAAGACATGGTCAAAAAACCGATACAGATAATATAAATATACAAGCTCAGCTCACGCCAAGTTTGTGCTATGCGGACAAAGGGACACGCAATACATAACTTTGTATATATTGCACAATGCTAGCTGTGCATTCATTTCAGTGAAGGCAGAGAAAGTGACATAAGTATGCAGTGTTATGTTGCCAAGTGAAATAAAGAGCAGTTCTCTGAACTTAAAGCAATGTCTCTTGCATGATAGTGTTCAAGTGGTGACAAACCTTAGACAGCCCAATGCTGATTGAAATAACACTAGCATGCAGATGGAACATTTCAATGTTTTGAAATGCTTTGAGTTGTTAACTCTACTTTACCAGTAAATTACCATTTACATTCCTGACCCAGACCTTAAACTGCTTGAGCTAATAGTTATTGATGTCAGTGAACTGAAAGTGCAATGCTGGAGAAAAAGTGTTACTTGTAGAATTAAAGATAAGTACTATTAGGTAGATTAATGGATTGCGGCACATTTGGGCAGTTAAAATACAGTAAACACCCACATGTAAGAACCTATGATTTTGGGTTTCAGGCTGATCAAGTTCTTCTTTATGGGGTGTTTAGTGAGAGGAAATCCTGAAAATGTTCTTAAAATTTGTTTCAGAAATACTATACAACCTGTACATTATACATTACTAGAGGTTTAATTAACATATAACAGTATTTAAATACTTACACTGAAAATTAAATTTGAAGTAAGAAAAATAACTGTAATTACTAATATAAGTAAACATTAAGAGTTTTTATGGTCCAGCATACCATAGTATGTAAATATGAGTGCTTTCTTATTTTGGCATCTTCTTTCCTTTTAAAAAAGAACATGTATTTGTCAGGCTGAATTGGTTCTTATACATAATTATGGTGCTTTATTGGCCAACTTTCAGTCTGATTTTCTTAATCTAGTTGTTCTTGTATGTGGGTGTTTACAGTTATTAGTTGATTGTTAACTTGATCTTGAGTAATTTCAATTACTGACTTTGATAAGGTAACATCAGAGCACATTAGAGGACTGGACTGCATGTGTGTTTATAAATGGGAGCAGTCATGTGAAACACATATAACTCCCTAGTGAAGTGCAATAAATTTTTTTTTCAACACTCATTTAACTACCTGCAGGCAGATCCTTATCATGTAACTCATAGTATCGAAATGAATCACCATCAATTGCTTAAATGAAAATGCCAATGAGCTACTCTTTACGTCTATTTTCAAGGCCACAGAAGAAAGGGAAGAAATGGAACAACTCAGAGAATACAATAAAAAATTGTTGTACAACATCCTTCCAGACCATGTCGCACAGCATTTCCTTGCACAACAAGCCAAGAAAAATGATGTAAGTTTATAACTCCAATTTTACAGTTTTTGTTGTACAGTAGTTATAGATTGGTATAAATACACTAATGTGTCAGTAGGTTAATGTCACTCTTCTACTGCAAAACCATTAAGTGCAACAATTTCTTACTTAACACTCTTCATCCCTTGCAGGACATAGTTCAACATCAATCCCTCTCAATTTATCCCTATTTTGACCAGCATGTTGTGCCTGGCCCCATGTGAATTTTATGTCACTGAGATCAGCCATGACAGTTTGGATCCAGCTGGTTTTTAGCCAACAAGGTTTCCTTTTGGTAAAGTATCGTGCAAAAGTAATGCAAATGAAATTCATCGAATTTCATCCTTTGTTCTCGCAAATTTTCCATGAAAAGTTGTCAAATTTTGAAAGATGTTTCGTAGGGTTCTAAGTGAAAAAATCACAATCTTTCTCAAAAATTTGAGATAGCAAAATTTGAAGTGGCGAATTTTCAAGGCAACCAAACGAAAATTCGAAGTAGCGAATTTTTGTGACATGAACCTCAATGAATGACAGTTCCAAACAAGCATATGTAAATAAACTAAACTCATATCAAAAATAGGTTCAATGATCCAACAGTTTAATCGGCTATTTCCAACGAAAAAAAGCGATTGCATCACACAACAAAAAAGCAATTACCTCACAAATAATTTCTTAAACACAGACTCGTAAACCTTGTTTTAGCAACTTTGATTTTCAAGCCTACGTATCGATTGGTAAAACTGGGTGCCAATTCCACAAGTAGGTCAAGTCTGTTGACGTGACAATGTTTACAGAAGCCCGCTTTCCCAAAAGAAACAGCGTTGAAATGAGACAGAACTTTTGCAGACAACATTTTTATTTTATGAAACATTACATTTTGTTTTGGAACCAAAACTCAAAAGCTCTCAAATGTCTTTTGCATGTTTTTAGCGCGAGGAGTGCATGTCTCGATCGGCTGCAGAGTTGAATTGTACAAAACAGTCTTCAGACATCTTACCTTGTAAATTGAATCCTTGCCTGGTTTAAAGGCAATAAGCTTATTTCAAGCATTTTCTGCTTCCATATCGACCGTAAACATCGACCTAGTGGTTCGTATTTATGCAGAGCCATATGCCATGTCACTTGAATGCCATGTTGACGGATGTTGACAGACTTGGAAAACTTACAAGCCTGCAGTGGTTTGGCCTGCGTTATAGTTTTTGCCTCCGTAGCTGCATCATGTAAAGGGAAAGTGAGGCATTCGCAAGAAAAGAGTACTTATAACACACGTTGAAGCCAGGGTAAGTTTTGCTCTCTGCCTGGGAAAAAGTAGACTTGCCACAAGGCAACCTTGTGAGGTTTAGGGTAGAATAGCTAAGCAAGCAAAGGAGCTGCAAGGTTTTAGGCCGCATAGTGGCCGTGCAAGGGTCGCTAAGCGTCCAAGCGAGCGACGATCGTCCTTTGTCTGGCGAGTTATGAATAAACAAGACGAAGGACTTTTCTTAGAGTCTAGGTAAGAGGCTGAGAAAAATGTAGGAAGATCAAGACGCTAAGTTTTGGGAGAAAGGAGGTTGGGGGTTACCACAATTTCTTAATAGTGAAACAATGTAATAGGGTTTCCTCGGTTAAAACAGTAGTAAATAATTATAAAGCGGTTTAAATTGAGTGTCTAAATTAACTCTCCTTTCAGCAATTTAAATATCTCAGCTGGGTGGAGATCTTGCTTGTAAAGAAGCTCAATTCGTGTTCACATGTAATTGGAACTTTTGGCATGATTACCACAAGAGAGTTTCAACCGGAATGATTGTGTAATGCACGTTAGCACTATTAAACACTAGCAATTACTATGGTAACACAAAAACAAGTTCGCGCAGAGTCTGGGTTACGAAAACATGGCTTGGGTCAGTGAGTGGCCTTTGTGGCCTAGAAGGACTGAAGAATAATTGTGTAAGAGCTGCGATGCTTTCAACATAAAGTAAACAGTAAAGGAAACCTTTGAAGTATATCCAAGTGAGTCTTATAGAACTGTTATGTAAACGGGCAAGCTTGTGCATTGTGAGGTGACAGCAGAATAGAATCATTGCGTCAAATTCGAACTTGGCAAACTGTCGTCCACAAAATGCTTGGGAATGTTTGAGCAGCGCTAATAAAGAGCAGAATTTTGCTCAAATGTTCGAAGTCATTCATCGAACAGAGCAATTTTGCGCTCAAAAATTCGACGTCAATTTTCGTTCCAAGCGAATTGTCATTTGAAAATTCACACAGTTGGAAACAATAGGCATCGCAAATTATCGTGACTTTTTGTCAAAAATGCAATATTTTTTCGTCGAAAAGCCAAGAAAAGCCGCGAATTTCGGCGAAATACATTTGCATTACTTTTGCACAATACTGTAGGTGGTGTCCATTCCAATGGAGCCTTATGAATACAAGCCTGATCAACTCCAAGTGTGTGGCTTAGCCACCAGATTTATTTGCATTTGATTTCCATGACAACTCTCTGGCAAGCCTCAAAATTCTGGTTGCCAACACTCAATTTTCAGTCACATTGGCGACCAGCTGGTCGCAATTTCAGACCCTGAGTACACAAGATATTTTGGGCATTTTCGTTTTTACTTCAGTCTACTTTTCTATATTTTGGGGGCGTTTTTGATAAAACAATTATTCCTCTCGTGCTTGTTGGATATGAGACGATTATAGCCAACTCGGCACTACGTACCCTGTTGGCTATCTACGATCTCATATCCAACGTGCGCTCGTGGAATAATTGTTAAATACATCTGAGTTTCCACATGAGATGACAATAATGTATTACTTGTTGTACAACCCCTTTACTCCTGATGTAATGGGTTGTTAGTAATATACTTTACAGATAACCTACTTGTGTTTTTACAATTAATGTTATTTTGGTGGTGGTATTTGTTTCCAGGAACTTTATTACCAGTCCTGTGACAAAGTAATTGTCATGTTCTCCAGTATATGTAACTTCTCTGACTTCTATACTGAGTTGGATGCTAATGGCGAAGGAGTAGAGTGCTTGCGTCTTCTCAATGAGATATTGGTGGATTTTGATGAGGTGATTGTTGTTCCTTCTTGTGAATGCTAGTAGAACCTTTTTGTGATTTGAAGCATAAGCGAATACCCAGCTGTCCTATCATATTTTTAAGACTTTGTGGGAGAGAGAACCGAAGACTGAATCCTGATCACAAGACGGACTGAACTCCAACAAGCAATGTTCACTTTGCTGAACAACACAAGTAACACAACTGTACAGTGCAAATATACTACATTCAACAACTGACTCTAGAAAGCTGCTCTTCAAACACGTTGCAGCTATTGCCATCTACTACCAACACTTACCTAATATGTAAGGTGAAATGAAACTCAAATTCAGAGAGGACTGGCACATTGATCTAACTATAGATGGGTCTATACTTACAGTTTTTGTTTAGAAACTTGATACTGGTCTCAAAAGCCGAGGCACTAAATTTCAGTGGCCAGGGACACAATTGACTGACAAAACAATTTGTGTTCCACTTGGAGGATGACTTTCTCACAGAGGGTCAAAATGTGTTTAAATCTTATGCCTATGCCTGTTTTCTGAAGTAATCATTATTGTGATCATTTTTAGCTTCTATCAGAGCCACGCTTTCAGTGCATAGAGAAGATTAAAACCATTGGTGAAACATACATGGCTGCTGCTGGAATCAAACCTGAATCACAGGTTAGTAACATGAAGAACTTGAGAACAAAAATTCTTTTCTTTGGGTGAGAAAAACCGCTATGCTATTTGTTGTTAATTAGCTATCGTATAATTCCAAACTATACAACATTTGAAGAAGTCAAGTTTGATCATTCTTTTGCCAAAAAAATGTGAGATGATTATGTCGCTTAAATTTTGTTGGGTCCTTTCGAGTACTGTGCTCTGATCTTTTGTGGACTCCCAACTCTATCCAGAAACATTTCAAACTCTCCATGCCAACTCCCATAAAATTAATAATGACCACTCCAGTTGTGAACAGTGAAGAGTTTCACATGTCAGCCTTTGCAGATGTAAGCTCAAGGACATTCGCACAAATATTTTCTACGCAATAGATTTTCTTCAAACTTCCACTGCGGGCAGGTATTGAATTACTTGTTTCAGAAATGAAACAAAAATTAGTGGTCAGGGAAGATTCGTTTCAGAGATAAGCATGTGGAAAACCAGTCTGATTTTGAAAATTTGGCATGCGTAAATCAGCATGGTCTCTAGGGTTTTACCTTAAGATATCAAAGGAGGATCAACAGAGACCAACTATCCTAGTAATATTTTGTATACGGGAATCTGTTGCATTAATAAGTCTAATGTTGCCAATGTTCTCACAAACCTTAACCTTTCAAGAGGCATTTCCCCCCCCCCCCCCCACAGATAAACAAAGAGCTAAACAGAACGGAATTTGATGGTGCATTTTGCAAAAAAATGCAAACTTCTAATTGATAGAGTTTCTTCCTTTGTTGGCTAAACTAAGAAAATTGGTAGGGAAATTGATCCATCAAAAGAAAAATAGGGGTCACCAGACATCCAAGGTAGTTAAATCCAGGCAAAGCTATACCTATAGCTATTATTATTATTAGCATGCACTTGATGCATGACATGTGAACTTGTGTGCACAGTAGGGATGCACAGAAACAATTTGCATGAATGTCCTCAAGTTCCACATATTATCAATTTTGGTGGTAGACTAAACCAAACAAACAAACAAACAAACAAATACAAAAACTGAAAAGCCCTAAATGCATGCTTTCCTTTCAGGAGAAGCTGGCAACGCTGAGTCATATAGTGACTATGGCTGACTTTGCCATGGCCATGAAAAAGAAACTAGCAGACATTAATTTGCATTCTTTCAACGACTTCAAAATGAAAATTGGTAAGTGTAAGAGTGGTATACAGTAGAGCATATTTATAAATGGCAGAAGATGCAGAAATGGTTTGGTGGATTACAGGAAATTGAAGCTACGGGAACTTTGTGTTGCATTAAGACAAAGCTTGCAAAGAATGGAATGAAATACAGAAATATTGAATCAAATACAGAAATATCATGTCACTCAGAAAGTGATTATTGGCCAATTTGTGATGAGTGTTATTGAAATCCCTTATTTTACAACAATTACTGCAGATATGATCTTCTGGTGTGGAAGTCAACACAAATAGCTAAAAAAATAATTTAAGAAACAGCACTGGTGTTCTCTTTTCATTTGACAGTTTTTTCATTCCTGTTACTTTTTAAGACCAGGAGACTCTAAATATCAAGAATTGACCTCCAAAACTAAAATCACAGATTTCTTCATATTTTGCCAGGAGAAACCCTTTCGCAAACTATTTTTTTGCAAAAAGGAGACTAAAACTTGGTAGAGAGTTTTTGATTTTGAGAAATCCAACAAAAAGTAGAATTTCGGTTTCCAAACTAGGTGATTGTTTGTCATTTAGTAAAACATTCTGCTTTTATTTTTTGCTTCCATTTAGCCATTACATATCCTATATGTGACTGTGAATGGGAAAGCGTACCTTAATGCTTATCCGTTAAACGGTCGCTAATGGGCGGATAGCTAATGGATAGTTAACGGCCTTCACAGCATTCTAACGTTTTGTCCTAATCTTCTAATGGTTATCTAATTGTGCCTGACGGATGATCAAAGCATTGTAACGATCGTTGTTATGATTTTACATGTCGTTTCTGTTTTCAAAAGCGGCAAATGTGTTTTGTTTTGGATCGTATATAATAATTATAGTATGAAGGCTTTATTGAATTTCATTTGAGTTGTATTTATCAATCATCAGGGCATCAAAAAATAATAATCACTAAACTTCTAACACTAATCTCTCCTGGTTGTTTTGAACTAAATGGAAGTGAAGAGCTGCTCTCGTTGCACACTGTATTAGGCTACCACATTCTACTTCCACTCAAGTCATGCCATTCTAACGGAATCATTACCCGTTTAACAGATGCTAGTTTATTCTAACGGATCCGAACGGCTTCTCTAGCTGTGCTATCAGATTACAGAGTTTTTGCTAACGGTTATGCTGTCCTGTCTAACAGTCTGATGCTAACAGCTAACCGATACATGTCTCTTGCTAACAGTTGCACTCTCTGTTCTAATGGCCTGATGCTAACATCTAACGGTTGGGATAACACCTCCATCGTTTATGATAAAACTTTCTAACGGACAACTAACAGATGCTTAACACTTTTGCCCGTCTAACAGATAAGCGTTAAGGTATGTTTTCCCGTGCATGGTCACATATATCAAATAACATCTTTTACTTTGAACCAGTATGAAAATAGTCACAAAAATTGTGCCTTAATTATAATTTATCTCTTTCCAGTCATGCTCTATAAATTTCAATGCTTCAGGATTGATGACTAAAAAATTCTAAAAAAATCGGATTATTTTCATTTCCCCTGAAATTTGGGGACATAAAACTAGAGATAATTACCTAAGCACATGGCTAGTTTCTCATGGGATGCTTCAATGTAGCGTACANTTGCCTGCACTTTTCTTGTAGCTGTCGCACAGAGAAGATCATATCAACCGTTGAGCGTTGGGATCGAAAATCACACTGAGACTCAGGGTACACTCTTTCTGCAAGCTGCTGAAGGTGACGGAGTGCCACACGGGCAAAGAGCTTGCCAGCAACGCAAAGGAGAGAGATGCCCCGATAATTGTTGCAGTCACTGCGGTCACCCTGTTCTTGAACAGGGTTGTGATGATAGAATCTTTCATCTCTTGGGGGACTGCTGCCTACTCCCAGCATTTGCACAACAACTGATGGAGCACATTGTGAAGCTGGTCACCACCACATTTGAAGACCTCTGCAGGTATGCCATCTGATCCTGGTGCCTTACTGGATGAAATGTCTTTGATGGCACCTAGAAGCTCCTCTAGAGTAGGGGCATTGTCTAGTTCAGGCATGTTTGGCAGTCTCTCGGTGTAAGTCCCCAAAATTTATTCTCATCTTATTGTTGATGTCCAGGTGGCTTTCTGCACCCATTTAGTCTTGTGCAAGAAAGTCTCCAACCTTGACCATATTCACACCTGCATGGGTCACAAATCCTGACCTCTAGCACTTTTGAGAAAAATGAATCATCTTGAGAAACAATACCCACCTAGCTGGCAAATTCTCCTTTTGGCCCTTTGCCTGCTGGGAACTTGAGTATGAAGATCCTTGTCACAAGTCAGTGGGAAACTGTATCCTGATTGCAAACTTTATACTCTTATACTTAACCTTATACTTGTGCAACTTGGCATCTAAAGACTGAGTTTTAGTGTGTTCAGAGGGTTTGTAGAACATGGACTTGTGTTTGGTATAAGTCCCCAAGTTTTATTTACATCTTGTTGTCCATGTCCAGGCAGCTTTCTACACCCATTTAGCCTTGTGTAAGAATTCTCAAACTTTGATCTTATACACTCTGGTCACAGATCCTGACCTTTATCAATTTTATAATCATGAATCGTCTTAAGAAGCACATACAATGTCCACCTAGCTGGCAAATGTTCTCTTCGGCCCCTTGCCTGCTGAGAACTCAGTGTCAAGATTCTTGCCACAAGTCAGTGGGGAATATGCAGGAAGGTAAAAGGCAAGTTTTGACCAGGAGAGGACAAGAGTCTGGCCAGAAGAGATAGCAAGTGAAGCAAAATAGTTGGCTGGAATGAGAAGAACCAGAGAACTGTGTAAAGCTACCATGAAAATCAGAAAATCAGGAATTGGCGAGATGGACACAACTGAGATGAGAGAAGCAGAGGTGAAGCACTGAAGAAGACAAAGAATGGTAATAATAATATGGTAGTCACAATGCTGTAATAACAGATGTGAATAAGATCAGTGAAGAGGTCTGATGGAGAAGGTGGACCTGGACTGGACTGGACATGTGCTTAGTATGGAGAGGAACAATGACTGAATGGTGGTGGCTGAGCAGCAGTGTGAAGGAAAAAGGAAAGTGGGATGATGAAAGATTGTATGAAGAAGGACAATGGAAAAGGAAAGCAGACAGGACAGGAATGTCAGCTGGGCAAAGCCACGGGCACAGTACAAGACAGAGTTGGTTGGAGAGTAAGAATTGAAGTCTTAGGAGCCTTCTAGCATGAAGAGAATTAACTAATTATTGAGAGATAGATATGAGGCTGGACTGACCACAATGATGCCACAAAATTCACCAATCAACATTGTTAGGTGTAGAACTGTTAACTGAGCTGTCTTCATCATAGCTTACCATTGGTCGGAGCTACAGTAAAATCTGCATGAAATTATCTTTTGTCAAAACTATCTCTGCATTTGAGCTGGTACATGACATGCCATCTTCATATATTCTCTACATCAAATCAAACACAAAATACTGTAACCTGCCTCACAAGGCTATAAATCTGTAAAGGAATACAAATTCTCTTCATCACAGGTTCACTATAGATGCCTTCTTTGCCTTTGAGTGCAATCTACAACTTCTACCCTCCTGCTTCTTATGCACTTGCGGGTGTGTTGATGCTTTGGACCATGATGCTACATAAAACTGTCCCGATTCTTGGGAATCTTCATGAGAGCCAATCAGATGGCCCTTGGATTCCCACACAGTAGTAGACTTAATAATCTCTGTTCTTCTGACATAATTCCTTCACCAATTTCTGCATTACACTCAGCTTGTACTGACTTGCAGCTTCCTCTTCTTTGCAGCTCAGTGCCCCCCCAAATCCCAGACTCATGAATCTTCCATTTTCAGGTGAATTTCTGTTGAGCAATGGATGAACTGAAATGTTTGGTTTTCATGTATTTCCAATTTATAAAGCAATTAAAAAAAAGGAAATCTACTAAATTGAGACATGAATGGGACTCAAACCCATGTTAATGAGCTTCAATCACTTTGGGAAGCTGGAAACTGAATTGAGTTAGAAAGGAAATGCTTCTACATCATATTCATTTCCAGAATCAAGAAAACTTTTAATTGGTGTTTTCACTGATAAGCAATACCAAAAAACTTAGGCTTTAGTGAGATTCAAACTCATGACATTCCTTAAGGGTTCTCAAGAACTTTTTAATGTCAGGATAAAGGTTTTAAAATTCTTTACTATTGAGAGGCTGGATGTAACAAGATGGGATTCAAACCCATCAGTGATGCCCTTTTCTGAGTCCTTCAAAATTTGAAGGAGCTTTTAATTTTTTTTCTTCTAAAAAATTGGAAACATGGGTTCAAAAAATAATGCAAGCACCCTGTGAAACCAGGAGGCGGATCAAATTATTAATGAGAAGTGTAAGTATTTGCAGTGTAATTAAATTACTTATTATAGCTTCTTATAACATGGGAAATCAAGCCTGTAAAATTCAGACTTGGATGGGATTCAAACCCATGACCTAAGTAAGAATGCTTAGAAGGACTTTCACAGCTTTGTTCTCTTTCTGTTGAGAAACTGGAAAACTTCAGTCAAGAAAAACACCTTGAAACCAAATGAAGCATAAAGAGGAGAAAAATGTATCCTAAAATTAATGAGTAGAGGAGTATTTTACTAAGCAGAATAGAGACCTGTGAACTTCAGGCTTTTGTGGGATTCAAACCCACGATCTTTCAAAAGACCTTTTGACTGCTCAAGAACTCTGAACAATTTAACTCTTTTGGTATTGGAATATTTTATTGAAGAAGAAAATTCTTTCACCAAGAAGGCTTTAAAGGAAATCAACACATTTTTGAGAAGTATCTGAAACTGAAGTCATTTCAAAGTTAAGAATTCAAGCTTGAATGGGATTCAAACCCGTGGTCTTTGCAATTACCTGCAATCTGCAGGGAAGTGTATGATTAAAGTTATTTCTATCTTGTGTCATCAAAAGTAAACTTATGCATGTTCTTGAAAGTTTGTTATAGTCCTTTAGTGCTTAGGTGCAGAA